CATCCTATAGACAACTTTCAAAGCTCTATCGAATGGCTGTCTCAGAAAAATTTTAAAATATTTAGAGCAAATAAAAAGTGAGCACTGTAGGTTCCAACTAAGTAATTGGTGGTACTTTTCCAAGCACCGGTTCACCATCAACGGCCTAACTTTTGTCAATAAAAAATATCGATTTATACGTAACTTGGCATGCTCTATCTAATGAGCATAGTGAGATCCACCCGGCCAAAACTTTTGTATAAAGCGGGCGGACCTGCGTGGAAACACCCACATGACAATTTGGTTAAAAGAAATTTTCTCTGGTTTTATCAGTTAACGTAGGACGAATACAATCTTTGGGAGAAAAATTCGATTTTAGCACAATTTGTGCACTGACATTTTCACTCTTGTTTTTCTCATAATTCCTGCAAAATAAATCCGTTTGCTCAGAAACTTTTACCCTTTTTCAACATCCAGAAGTTACACATGGCATAAAAAAATAAGCTTCAAATCTCTTACCGTTCCTGAGAAATCCAAAAATTACGACGAAATGTGCATTGACATTAAACTCAACGTATCTCCATGAAAACTTGATCAAATTTAGATTTATTATATACCAATCGACTCGTCTTCGGAAGCTGCATCTAACTATATATTCGCAATGTCTCATCGCTCTGCCCATATCACGGCGGCTTTTACAGAAAGTTGGACATGACTATCCTGCATTTATTTTAGTATCAGGTTGGGGTTACTTTTCTGGAACACTTTTTCTAACGTGAATATCGGACGGAATGGTTATTAGACGCGTTTTTTAATTGTTACTAGCAGAGATAGAGAGTGATGAAAGAACAAGTGTCTTAATAAAAGACTCCTTGAATCCAACTGAAAATTTGCGATTTATAGTCGAATATTTTCTGTAGAAAATAAGACTTCAACCATAAATCTACTTGTTGTTCGTATGATATATTGATCGTAATGCTGTAGAAAATAAGAATGTTGTTTGTTGCGACGCGTTTCGTTTTATCTAAAAATAAAACTCATCAGACAAACTGTTTATATCTAGAGCATGGAAAAAATCAAATTAAAACAAACGATTAAAAAACGTTAATAATAAAAACTTATTAAAAAAGGGGAGGAAAGAAAGAAAAAACAAGGAATAAAAAAATAAAAGTTGGGCTGGGAGCATGAAGACATCATTGTCATTGCCGTCTTCGTCTGTAAATGACGAGACAGTTTGCTGTTGTTCCGGTTGTTCGTCTTCCGGTTGCTGTTCCCCAGTTTGGGTCTGTTGTTCTTCTTCCCTTGATTTGACTGCCATCATCACCTGTTTACGACGTTCAGGTCGTTTTTGATTCAACAACGTACGCCGTTGCTGTTGTTCTGGTGTTAGAGCCAGACCATGTGCTGGGTTTTGACCTATAAGCATAGGCGTGACTGCTGTTATCGAGCTCGTCTGGCGTCCACGTTTATATGATGATGAAAAATGGGATGGTCGATGGGAGGTAGCGGCTTTAGAGCTCTGCTCCCTCCCTTGCCTTAAAGTAGATAATGATGCTGATGCATCTACGGTGTAACGACTCCTGGCTGTCGATCGCCGACTCGTCGACTCGTCTTCATGATTATATTGCTCTGATGGAGTGTTAGAATATTGGTATTGTTTATACCCGGCTGGACGATCATACGGAGTAGCTCTGTTTTTTCGATGACTCGAGTTTGTGAAGACTCTGTCATTACGTCGATAGTCAGAGCTATGACCGTATGCCGGGTAGTGTCGAACTGGCTCGGTTCTATCCGCATGGGACCCGCCAACCATCTGCTCAGATAGAATATCCGGAGCAGATATGTTTGGTGGGATGCCATCGGAGTAAAAAGCCTGCGAGTTCGGCACCCAAATACCAAAAACATTACTCGCGTCTTTATATAGACGGAAATTTCCAGCCGGAGTTGACCGATTTAGTTCAGTGCCAGTCCAAAGAATTGGATCAGCGCCTGAGCGTTGTAACAATTGCGCGAATTGAAGATGGGCGAATGGATCATTGGTGTTTAAAGCAAACACCTCAAGTTCCTTTGGAGCGCCTCGAGTGTTTCCACTTAGACCAAGTGCCGCTAATGTTTGATTTTGTTGATCGGATGATGACATGATTGAATGAGTGAATGAATGTAGGTAATGATAATCGAGTGTGTGAATAAACGAATGATTAAACAAACACTGAAAAATTCCGAGACAACCAAATAATTACGAGTAATAAATATTACGGAAATGCTTTCCGAATTACGAAACCATGACCAATGCTCTACTTTACAAACATCCATCCAGCTTCCGATTTATTACCTCACAGTAATAAACTGCTTTTGAGAAGTTATGAACGCCTCATCAGTTTTTTACTCATGTCAGCCACTGCTCTTTTACACGATGGATGGTTCGGTCCCAGTGTTTTCAACTGAAGTTCCAGTGCCTTTTCATAATAACTGAAGGCCTTTGAGTAGTCACCCACCTGATAGTAAACCGGTCCAAGATTGTTGTATGTCGTAGCCACAGATGGATGGTTCGGTCCCAGTGTTTTCAACTGAAGTAGAGGAAATATACGTTGCGAGACCTCCTCCGTGTCGAGAGGGTCATCTCTCCATCAGTAATTGTCGCGTCGAGATTCGTTTCTTGAAATGATAGAATGTCAAAATCGCTAAAAGGACAGAAAGTTTTGTCGCTAATGAGACCAAAGTTCTTAACAAGACCTTGGATATTGCGAGAATAAATATTCAGTTTGTGGGCTAATATATTGTCGTTTCGTTTGGCTTGAGTCACATTATATCAATAACGGTTAGACAAGCGATGGTGACGTTTTGTTTTTTGTTGTGTATTATTGAGAATATTATTATTGGTATTATTATTGTTATTATTAATATTGATATTATTATTATTAATATTATTACTATTATTATGGTTATTAATATTGTCACGCCTGATGTTACTATTTTGATTCGACCGATTATTGTCCTTCCTAACAGCAGATGACATAGTTGATTGCTGTTGTTCTTCTTGCGACCTATTCCGTCGTTGTCGAGCCTCAAATGCTTGCAAAGATTGTTTTTTCGTCAAATGCTTACCGATGTAAACAATTTTGACAAGAGCATCAGACGAGTTTTTAATGGTAGGTGCCTTTGCTCGGATCGACGAATGAACAGATAAGTCACTAAACGCGATACAAAGAAGTGACGGACGATCATTATTAGTTGCTGGCGAGGTTTTAAATTGCCACACCTAATCGATGGGAGACGGATCATTCTTGACATCAAGATGATTTTGAACGAAAGGGAAGACAACATCTCTATCGATCGTGCCCTCAACGGGACACAAATTCTTGACGATGATGTTTTTTCGTCGCTTCTCACGTTCCAAGTTTTCGTTCAATTCATCAAGACGATCAACAAGTTGATCATGTTTATTGTTAAGAGTTGTTAAATGATGTTCAATCTTGTCAATTCGATCGGATAACGTTTGAAGGCAACGAGGTGGAACATGATCGACGTTTTTATCGTTCAAACACTTTGGACAAAATCAGTTAGAGAACTGTTGTCGTTCAGCTAGAGTTTGATATATGCCATTGGTGAAACGTTAACACATCCAATGTGGAACCAAGTGTCGCATGCATCACATTGTAGAGCGTTATCATTATCGGTGACGATAGCCTAGCAAGAACAGAGAGTCTGTGGTTGTGATTCACCCGATTTGGAAGTCTTGTATTTTGCGACGTTTATACATGATAACGAGATAAGAAGAATTGAAGAAGAATAAACGAGAAAAAATAAGTAAAATAAACAAATAAATAAACAAAGCCAACACTATCTGAAAATACAAGAGGTTTCGCAAATGCTCGACCTCTCTCTTTAATATATGCTTATAATAAGCAGCTGTCAGGCGTGATTTCTTATAATGTAATGTTACGATACATGTATTCGACACGTGATCATAAACCGTGTATTGTATGGGTGATTGACATAGGTCATTTTTATTATTTTAGATGTTTTACCATTCCAACCCTTCTTTCACTTAGGTATTTTTTCCGTCGATTTAGTTTTTTATTTTGTCTTTTGGATATTTCATTTACAAGTATAGTCATATTTCCTTTTATTAGTATTTGAGTATTCCATCTCGCTCTCTCGTAATACAGATATCTTATTTTTGATAAAGAACAACCCTTTTGTATTATTAAGGCTGTTAATGATGACTCCTGGAGAAGTATTTAATAAACAATCGAATAGTGAAGAAGAAGTTGGTTATTTCACAAAATACAAAATTACAGTTTACGAGTTTTATAAAATTTTTGTCCCATTGTGACCGGATGTTGCAGCCCATTAGAACACTAAGCATTTCTATGGTTCGAAAAATAAACTTTTGTTATATCAGTGACCAAGGTATTATACCTATAATATTCTGTATTACCGAATATACTACAAACGAATTTTTTTGCAACTCTGGTTTGGTATCCGCTGGAAAAGGTTAAGTCTAAGTAATGTGTCGTTATGGAGTTGTACGTAGTTTACATTGATAGTTTCCTTAGACGCCGGAATTTGTGCCTTTTTGGGCATGGTGTTATGTATAGCGTGTAACACACTCTACATAACCCCATGTTGGAGCGCCAGTGACCTCTATGTTGAAAAATCATACTGCGTACATTGAATGGAAGCGATTTTCGCCAATGGTGGTTAGATTTATATGTAGCTGGCATGTGATCAGATATAATAGATGTGCTTATTTGGTGTACTTTTTCTTTGGTTTTTTCGAAAAAGCTGTGACCCTAATATAGTATGCATCTTGTAGATGAAATTTTATTCGTACTTGCACGATTTCTCAGAAGAATTTCGACTAGACCATTGTTGTTAAACTTATTCAAGTCATTTACCGTTGGTTAAAGTCCTTAACTGTCTGACTGATGCCATTTCAGAATTCGATTTACCAATCGACGACTAGGATAACACTAGGTTTAACTTTGTGATGTGAATGTGGTTGCATGTCATACCCATGTGGTAAATGTCGGTTGAAAATCGGCGACATCGCGGCCGACATATTGGTCGATATATCGCGAGAATACACTTTTTGGTGGTTTTTTAGATTTTTAGACGATGAGTCGTGACTTGTCGATGATTTTTTTTATTTCGCTTTGCTCCTTATGATTCACAGGTCTCGGGTTCAAATCTATCTCAAGAAAATGTCAATTTTCCTTGAGTTTATTATCTTCTTGATCCACTGCAAAACAAAACGGTGAATGAATAGAGAGCTGATTAGTTGTCAGCTCGGGCGATTTTTGAAAAAAATCAAAATCGACGACTTGCACCTAATCGACGATTTTTAACAAAATCGTGACATGTTAAAATTCTAAAGACTTTCTTCGTATGGGTATTGACATCTCGTCTCAATTTGGTTTCTTGGGAACCTGATCAGTATTTCATTTTTGAGAACTTTTTGTACATCAGTCAAATTTGTAAGCATCAAAATTAAGATAAGTTATGAGCATAACTTTAGATCAATCTTCAATGGATGTATTTTTGTCTTCTGGCTTCTGTGTTCATTAAATAACGTTCGAGATCAGTACGAGCTTCATCAGAGCCATTCAAAACTATTTTTACACTTACTCTTCGAGAAGTTTAAACCTGTTTTGTTGAACACAAAAATATCCCAGCAGCGTTATCGATTAGGGGGTGGCAAATCACCCCGTCATTTGGATACAATTACTCAAAAAATTTTGACTTCCTCAAATTTTTTAAGAAATTTAAGTTGAGAAACTGCTTTTTACGCACCTGAGTAAGTGATTTTCTCTAGTTTCTGAGTAACTGAATTACTCAGAAAAAAAATTTTAGTCAAAAAATGTCTTACTCAATAAAAAACTTTAGGTACTCAGCAGGCATATTTTTATTAGATCATCCTATCGTGTCTATTCTGAGTTTGTTATATCCACAATATCTATTTATTATTTACATACTATCTCTATTTCTTTCTTTGTCATATGTATAAAAAGGATCAGTATCGAATAAACGTCATTTAAAATAACTCTTTCAGCTAGTGCCAACGAAATGGCTAACCATGGGGTTTCAACACGCTTTTAATTGTGAAAAAATGGTCAGTTAACAGGCACCATTTATTGCCTTCATCTGACCTTTAATGATGTCCTAAAAACAAGCAATTAATTGTGTGTTAGTAAGGCTCAAATTTAGATAACCATTAAACGGCCAGTTTTATGACCGTTACATAAACAGGCAAAAAACGAACATTTAACGTTTACCGTTTAATTCACCCTCTTGTTTCGCTGACCTCACTACAATACGAGTTTTGTTCTTCCTCGACTATATATAAGTCATCGAAACTTGTGTTGAGAAAATAGCTACTGGTTCTAGGTATGGTGCCAGTGATGGCACTAATCATATCTAGGGAACCAGAAATATTCAAAAATTTGAAAAGTAATTTATTTTATGGTAATGGTCAGAAAGAAATTAGTCATGATCAACAGTCGGAAAAAACTACCAGTTTTAGGGCATTAATACGTTCCCAGTTATAATGCCGAAAAATGATCAAAAAACGATTTTAACTAGCTAGAGAAATATCATTTAAGACATAATTTATGGGTTGTTAATCGACATAAATCACACCATTTTCAACGTCCTGAGATAGTAACACATGCTATGAATAGGAAACAACCATCTTGCAGAAAAAAGTAACATCTTCGAATTAGAAACGTAAATCTTTTATATCATAAGATTTAAATTGAACATTTTATATGATTATCGATAAATTTTTGCAAAAGATTTTTTGTGTAGATAGTATATACATAATTTTTATGCTTTTATAATCAATCTTAACTCGTTAGTATTTTGTACAACTATCAAACAGAAATAATCGTTTGTGACCATAACAGAAGACTCATTATTTTATAATCTCAAACTATTAAAAAACTATGATATGTATTTAATATTTCAGATATTTGTAGCCAATCGAAAGAAGAAAAATCTCAAACATTTTTTCATTTTGTCTATGTGAATGGTGCGTTCGATCGTTTTTTGTGTCTTGTTAATGATAACAACAGAAGAAAATTATATGTAAAGAGTCCATGATCTATTTTACTCCACCTGTGTACAATAATCAAATAGAATTAAAATGTTTTTTATCAAAAAATTATAGTCATATATTTCTGCGATTTGTAATTGGGTGCATATTAGTAAATGGTGTTGTTCAATCGGCTGCCATTCAACCACAACAAATATCATTATACGATAAAAATGATAAATTATACGTATTATCAAAGAAAGACTTTTCTATAGTATTTCAATCACCAACAGCTTGGTTAATCGAATTTTATGCAAGTTGGTGGTATGTTAAAATACATGTCTAGTTCGGTATTTTTATCTATTTTATTATTCTATATATTTTTGATTTTTTTTTCCAGTGGACACTGCATTCATTATGCTCAAACTTATCGTGAAATAGCAATTGATACCTATGGTAAGCATCATTTTTAAAAAGAACAACAACAAAAACATTTTTATTGTCGTTCAACGAGTGTAAATATTATATCCATTTTCAAGGTTGGTCATCCGTCGTACGAATTGGAGCAGTCAATTGTAATTCTCCCGAGAATGAACAATTGTGTATTGAGCATCAAATTACAGGTTATCCAACTCTTCGAGTAAATTCTTTTTCTAAATTTTTTACGTATTGGCAGTTTTGTTTTCTTTCCTCTTCATTCTAGGTGTTTCCACCTGATGCTATTTTTAATAAAAGTAAAACTGTTGATATACCTGAAAACGATGCAAAAAGTGTCGAAAAAGCTCTTATTGATAACCTTGAAACATTTGAAGGTAAACAAAAATATTGGCCACCATTCACACCCGTCAGGTTAGTTTACATACTATGAGAAAATAAGTAGTCAGCATTTATCTTTTACTCTATTTTAGTTCTACTGAATTGTCTGAATTTTATTCACGTATATCACCAAACATAAAATTAATTGTGTTAATTTTGGAACAAAAAGATGATTATATTGGCCGACAGGTAAGTGAAAAAATCATTGTTTTTATTATTTAGTTTATTCACCTTCTCTTTGTTTTTGTCTTTTAGATAATGTTAGACTTTTCTAAATATCATGATCAATTGGCTATTTATCGTACAACAAATGTAGAAAAAGTATGGAAAATATTTCAGTTATCTATGGAAGATATTCCTAGTCTATATATTGTCTATAGAAATTCAACAATTGAAAGATTAGATAAAACATTATCATTGGCCAATAAGTATGAATTATTTCTTACTATTTTTCTTTAGTATAAAATATTTTGATTTATTTTCTCTAGAAGTATTGATAAACATAATCTATTCAATTATGTATTACGTTCCTATATTCGTGCACAATCTAATTTAATTCAAAATTATAACGATGATGAACTAGAAGAAATTATTTTAAGAAAAAAAATGTTAAATACTAACAATACAGTTACTACGAGAAAACAAGAAATAATTGTTGATAAGAGGTATATGTCACATTAGATAGATTCAATTTTTATGATTAGTTAGCGTAGATTTATTTTTTTTTAGTAATACAGAAAAAGTTTACATGGTAGATTTGGAATGTGGATTAGATTATATGCTACGCCGTGAAATTTGTAAAATGAAAGAACTAAAGAATGGTGTTTATATCGATTTAGTTAAATGGCTCACGGTTCTTGCAAAGGTTAGTGGAATGAAAATAGTTGTACGTTTTTTTCTTCATTGTCGTCATTCTTCTTCTTTAAGTATTTTCCTGGTCGAGAACCTGTTATGATTTATTTAACAAATTTAGTAGACTCTGTTAAAAGTAAACCAGATAATTTTACTGGAAGTCAATTTAAACAAATGGCTAGTATGAAAACGGTATGAATTATTATCGAGTAAAAAAGCGTGAGTGTAGGCAAACATATTGATTTTCTTTTTTTGTTCTAGAAAGATGCCTATTTACCAACGTGTGTTCAACAGTGGCATCATTGTTCTGGTTCCAAAAATCAATATCGTGGCTATCCGTGTGCTGTTTGGCTTATATTTCATACTCTAACAGTGAGACAAGTTCAATTTCAAGAAAAACGATTGATACCGTGTAAGTATGCAAAAAATATCTTTTTTTTCTATTAATCGTGTTTTCTCATCTATTATAGTCAAACAATTGAATAAGAGTGAAATTCCATTGGCTATTAAAAATTATGTCAAACATTTTTTTGGCTGCCGAGAATGTAGTGATCATTTTATGAAAGAAACAGTTGATGTTGAAAATATTGAATTGAATAAATATGAAACTATTTTCTATCTTTGGAACAGTATGTAGTCTTTTTTTGTTTTCTGATATAAATATTAAATTTGATTCCTAACTTATACTGTTGAGATTTTTTATAGTTCATAATCGTGTTAATCAACGTTTACGTGGTGATCTAACAGAAGATCCATTACATCCTAAATTACAATTTCCACCAATAGCATTATGTAAACAATGTCATGAATCAGATAAAGATAATGATACATTGTTTAATAAAGATCGTACAATTGAATTTCTATTAAAATTTTATTCAAAAGATAATATTGACACGTCGAACTTAACCATTATTTCACACGATCAACATCAGAAGAAAGAAGATCTAAGCCACAGGGAAAGATTTAAAAAAATGATCAAGAAAACTGGAGACGATAGAATTAATGATGTTCTAGATAGTTTTAGTAAGTATAATACAAGAACAATGTTTTTTTCTAGAATAACAACAATAAAACATTTTAAATTATATTGTATTTTTACTTGTTTGGCTCTTGTTATATTTTTACGTTATAAATTTTGCAAAGTAAAGAAAAAACGTTACACGTTGTAGTGTTTTGGAGTAGAAGAGAGAGAAAATATGAGCATTGATAGTTGTGATAGAAGTAATGAAAATTATTTTACGTTGATATATCCTTCGTCTCGTCTTTCTCTCTTGTAGGAATAAAAAGTTCTTATCTTCTCATGTTGAATCTAGTCGCTCGTTTGTACCGATGTTCTATTTGTTTACTGAAAATACTGAATATTTTCACGTCGGTTTACCCACTTTTTACACGGCTTCAAGCCGTTCAGATCTCACTATGCTAGTTTTGTAGGAATCTATATTTATTTTAACAGAAAAGCGTGCAGAAAGTGGCTGGAAAGGGGTCGCAATATTGAGTTTTTTCAAAAATCCCCCCTAAGCATCGGTCGATATTATATTAACATAAGCATTTGAAAAACTTTTCAGATAGACATTCGATGGAGCTCAAAAAGTTGTCTATATGGTATTATTTTTGCAGGTTACAACTTATAAGATCTATGAGCATCTGCGGTCCGGGATCATGCTACAATGACCATTCCCAGAAAAAACAGATTGTCAATAACTCGAAGTCAAAACGTAGCTTATTTCACACTCTTTCCAATACCACAAATCCGAGCTCTTTATGTTTGGTCGATCTTGGGTTTTTTCATTTGAAAAGGGCTCCTGGGTCCCCAAACTCAGGAACTTTGAGCTCGATTTTCTCGCCTGACTAGTTCTGATGAAATTGTCGTATCTCGTCAACGAAAGATGACAAGATTTTTTGAGACAGACTTTTTGAGCTTCATCGAACGTTAGTCTTAAAAGTTTTTCAGATGCTTATGTTAATATAATATCGACCTATCCCTAGGGGGGATTTTTGAAAAAAATAATATTACGACCCTTCTTCGGCCACTTTTCGCACGCTTTTCTGTTGAAATAAATATAGATTCCTACACAACTCGACACGCTCTACAAAACTAGTATAGTGAGATCTGAGTGGCTTGAAGTCGTGTAAAAAGTGGGCGCACTTGCGTGGAAGGAGCCTACTGATAGTTTTATCTATTTAGTAACTCATAATATTACTCTGTTGCTTTTTTTTATTCATGTAGAAGTTGACGCTGAACAGTTCTCAAAATTTTTTATACAAAATTCGTGTAGTTTTCAAGAGCTAATTGTTATCCAAGTCCTCTCTTTGAAGATGATGAAACGTCAATACGTTGACGAGTAGGAAGCGAGCCAAATTGGCACCCCCTTTCCCTGAGAAAAAATATAACGAAAGAATTATATTTCACAGCAGTGTATTTCCTTAAAATTTGAAATAAACACATGAACAATTCTTAATGGAAAAATTACGTACGTTTCTGCATGTATTAACCTAAAGGTTAACCCCCGCTAAAAAGAGTTTTCCAGCCTACCCATGTGTTATAGTAGCATAGGCCAGATTTATTTGCTCTTTGTTGATCTAAGGAACCCTGCTGACTCAATAAGTTGTATTTTATAAGCACAGGAATACTAAACAACTTTGTCCTATAAATCTGTACAAACTACAGGGCTCAACGTATGTTTTTGGAATAGGTATGAAAATTTTTGACATGTTAAATCGAACTTAAATTTCTTTACTATATCTGTAGTATATTGCTAACAAAAACTTCATTATAAAGGTTCTTTGGTTTATTTTATTTGCTTATTTATTTTCAATTATTATCCAAGAAAGAGATAAAGGACATTAATTAGGAAATAGTATCGACTGTAGACATGGGAAATGTATGTGTGATCTGTAATTTTCCCCAAAAAAAATATCTCACCGTTTTTTCGTTTTTCATTTCATACATATTTATATTTATTTTATAAATCGTCATTCTGTTCATTCCAGAATATTCTGCAGATATTTTCTTTTTTTTACTGTTCGTACACAAACGAATTTAAGATTTTCTTCTTGTTCTTTTGTTCGAATTATTTAGCAATTTTAATTATTTACATTTTATGAAGAAAGAGTTTTTTCTGTAGAGTGATTTGTTTTTTGCTTGCATTTAACGTTTAAAAGGAAAATTATTTTTTATGTGTAATCGGTGTATGTTTATTTAAGAAGAATTCTTAATTATTCAACTCATTTTGTTGATTAAAGTCATGTCTAATTTGTAGGGACGCAGTTTGACCTTTTTGGAGCAAAGAGGCGTAAAAAAGTTATATTTGTACAAAAGAGAATCATTCTGCCGGATAAAAGACAAACGACCTTACACTCTTTCGATGTTAAACGCTTCTGCTTATTTACATGCATTCTTGAGCATTTTTCATCCGGGTATTTAAAGTTTAAATGCGAAGGGTCTTTCTTGTATTTCCAGAAGTCAAACTCTTTTTCAACTAATCATGAATTTCAATCATTAATTAAGAACCAACGGATCATCATGCGTCCAGTGTTGTTGTTGTTTTTTGGATAAATTCTTGTTCATGAAATTCCAACGAGATAGAAGTGAATAAAAAACAACTTGTGAAGGTGTTCGAATAATTTTTGCAATGTTCTAGAAATAATCAAATCGTTTTTCCTTTCCCTTATAGATATTTTCAGCATTAGTAAGGAAAGTAGAATAGACTATTTCGGAAAGATTTCAACCGAATTTTTTTTTACAGATCAAGGTGAGGGACATAATAGCCTCCAGGTATTTCTGAAAAAAGGGGTATGACACATGACGGTTCTCCCAGAATTTCAAGTTTTCCTCTTCCTCTCAAACTATTTTCAGCTCATTTTTTTCTTTAGCAAACGGTCTGCATTGGTTTCACTACTTCATCTGAAAGAGCAACTCCAGATCTACTTTTGTCCTAATGAATGACATTTTTAATATGGCTAGGGATTACGAAATGGTGTAATATGCAAAGAGTCCTTCTTTCTCTGTGCTCTAATTCTGTAAAAAATGTATTGTATTATGTAGCTTGTCTGAAGGAAATGAATTGTACGACAATGTTCTCAGGTTTTCAGCATCTAATTCATATGATTGCGATTGATTATCATACGAATATCAATAACGATAACTCTAATGGAAATTTTTGTGAAACTCTTCCCGTCTTACAAAGTAGAGGGAGTTTCAGTTTATACTCGAATACTAGTTATTTTGGACCCTCCCCCTGCTTACACGCACTTAAAAAGTACCCTTACACGATCTTAAAATGGCCTTTATGCAATCTGAAAAAGACTTTACGTCATCTGAAACAGACCCTTACGCGATCTGAAAAGGTTTACGCGACTGACTATGGTACATTTACGTGATCTTAAACTGTATTTTACACGATCTTAAAGTGCTCATTACGCCATCTTAAGGTTATGCACATCTTTTAGAGACATTGAGTTGTAATTAGATGTGTATGTACACGATCTGAAGGCTGGCTTTACATGATTGTACAGTACTTTCACGCGACGTTATGTCGCTCTTTGCTTTATCTTTACCCTCTATGGTTTTTTGATTGTATGTTAAATCTGACTTTAGTTGGTTGCCTCTGAGTTCAGTTTTCTACTACGGTTACATGAGAATACATTTTTTTCTCCTTGGACATTTTCTGGAGGATTCTAATGTGTAGCCGTAGCTTCCATTAAGTTTTTTGCTCTCAGATGGTGCATATGGCAGATTACCATGCGAGAAAGTTTATTTTGGACCAGCAATGTAGTTCGTCATGTAGACCATGGTTACCAACAACATTTATAAAACTTCTACGATTAAACATAAAAAACAAAATTCGGTCTTAATGTACACGATCTAAACCTAAACTGTTGTTTTCTTTATCTTTTTGTGAAATTCTTCATGCCATACCGACTAGAAAGACTTTTAGTTTATACTCCAAAGCCCGGAGTATTTATCTTAATTTTTACCCATCATCCCCTTGCTTCTACGATCCTAAACCTAAATATGAACTTACATTTTCTCAAAGTGGCCTCTATCAGACCTTAAAAAGCCTTTACGTGCTCTGAAAAGTTTTACACGACTGACGATGATACCTTTACGTGATCTTAAAAATACCTTTACACGAACTGAAAAGATGCTTTACTTGATCGTACAAAAGTAAGTTGGTTTATTCTATAACGGTATAATTATGAGTTTCACATTTTAGCACCGATAGGTGCTACCCTGCCAAGGTTTTTATACATTTCTTGTCACGATCTTAACTTACGAAATGTCCTTTTCTTTTTCTTTTTTTACAATGTTTTGAAGTTGCACTAGGGAACGTTGTCATCACTATCTTCTAAATAATTGTATTATCCTGGTTAACATGATTCACGCATAACAGTTCGGCTAGCTAAAAAATTGATAACGAATCATGATTTTGACTATAGTCCCCGATCAACTGAAATATGTCAGCAACTTTTTGCTAACTTGTGATTAATCAGCTTCTGAGAGAAGGAACAGAATCGCTGAAAAATTGGCGATTTATTGATGATTAAACGCAGGATTAATCAGAGATTTTCTTCCGATTTTCAGTACATACGTGAGGCTTCATTACAAATAATTATTAATATTATTTATATTAATTAGATAATACATCGATCCCATTTAAATACCTTTCATCAAATTCATATAATTTCACTTCTTATTTAGAACTATCTGCAAATTATTTGTAAATAAGAAAAAGTGTTACCGTATTGTGAAAGTACTGATTTTACTTTGTGCGTTTGATCGCCAGAGGAAAAGAATTACGTTTATTTTACAAAAGTCCTTGAAGATTTATCGACATTTGATTAACATAAACAAACAGAATATGAAAGCATAGAGTTTTTTTTAACGTGAAATATAAAGTTTTAGATTATATTACAAACTTCATAAGATTATCAAGTTTAAATGCAGCCCTTTGAAAGTAAAAAAGCAGGGTTTTTGTTTTCCATTAATTTAGATAAGTTTAATAAGTTAACATTTCGAAAAGATCTTTTTTTGAAACGGAGTAACATTATAGAAGTGATGTTCGAACTAAGTTGAGTTTAAGTTGATGTTAATTTTGTAGGCTATAAAACGAATAAGGTTGATTATTTGTTGTAGTAATTCATTTTTTCTCGATTAATTTGATTCCATTGCTGTATGATGCTAGTATATTTCCAAAGGGTCAGGGATAGTTCTCGATGAGTTTATCGTATGGAGGTAGAACGAGCCGCTATATGATCATTACAAGTCCGATCTTAGAATTTGACTTTATGGTGTTCATATTTCATTTACTTTTTCAACTATAATACATCTGCTTAATTTTTGAACTTTTTTCAAATAAAATAGTTGATTTGAAAAATTTAGAACATGTGTATGAAATGACCTTTTCAAAGTGTCTTTCTCTTAATCTGTGAATCAAGTGGTATCAATAAATCAACGAAGAATCGAATGGGAACCCAAAGAAAGGGAATCAACAATTAAGCAGATGTATTATAGTTGAAAAGACAAATAAAATAGGAACACCATAAAGTCAAAATCTAAGATCGAACTTGTAATGACTATATAGCGCCTCGCTCTGCTTCCGTACGATAAACTCATCGAGAACTATCTCTGATTATTACAATGCAAAATGGCACGTCGAAATACTAAAATCAGAGTGTTTAGAGAGTGGTTCCTTCCCGAGATAACATTACAAACATGAGCTAAAAATGATTGTTTTTCGTGTTATGGACCGAATAACTCAGAAATGAAAAATATATAGACAAATGCTTTTGCATCATCGTTCTCAGCGCGTTGAGCTCTATCGAGCTGGATATATTCTGTCCAGAATTGCGAAAGATATTTGAGGAGTTTTCGTCGTTAGTATGATTTTTCAAATATAAGTGAAATAAATTCTATTATAGTAACACTTGAATTATCAAAAAACATAAGACCAATTTCTCCGAGTGTTTTTTCATACTTTCCTTACATTAGCGTTCTATTCGAGAATAACCTAAAATCAAGTGTTTTCTGCTCTGTACAGTATAATTCCAGCAAATAAAATAAGTTCCTAAAACGAATTTTTTAAGGAGTTGTATGTTATTTTATTTAAACAAATAAACTTTTTAATGTTTGTATATGCAAACGCACAAATAAGTTGCGTGATTGATCAGTGTCTCGTGTTTCATCTTCCTTTCGAAACAATAGTCCGTTTTTAAGAAAAAAAGTACAAAAAAATATTATATAATAACATAATCAATAAAAGAAGATCAATAAATATAATATATAGAAACAATAAGTTAGACGGCATGTTTCTTTTTTTTGTTTTTGGATAGAGATGAATATGAGTGATGAACAAATCTCACATTTAGAAGAACTGATTTTTAAACTCAAATATTTATAACTCGTAAAAATAGATAAAAACAAAAATACGTTTATTCTTTCACCTCCACAATGAGAGGTGCTTCATACATACTATGACGAATTCCAAAAGAATAGCCGGGTGCTGCCGGTTTATGTAACCACACCTAGAACAATAGAAATAACACATTAAAAGTATTGAAAATTGAATGTTAGTAACATACTTTTTCTGATGCATAAACACCGGGACCCGGTTTTGATGTATTATCACCTGGCATTGTATTTCTTGCTGTCATACTATAACTTGGTGGTTCTCGTTTATAAATACTTGGTTTGATTATGCTATCTAAATATATTTAAATGTTATTTAGAATAAGATAAAAATTAGATCTATAACTTACATGTTCCTGGTCCTAAAATAGAAAAATATATATTTTAATTATATATCTGAACATGATGAAAATATTAACATTTACCTGGAGTTTGTTGTAAATCTTCATCAAATCCTCCTCGTTTACTCCTTCCGGTCAGTGTATACATTGGAGCCTGTTTTTTCATACTGGTTACAGTTTTTCCTAGCATTGCTGGTAATGCATAGGCATTTGGAGCTGGTGTATTATCTAGACCGAAATATTTATGTCGTGAGCCAAATGTGTATGATGGTTGTGATAGAAAGACGCTTCTCATTGGGCCTTGTTCTTCTGGTTTATCTAAACATATGAGAAATGATTAAATGAATGATTAACGATGTTTTAATTCTACTAACATGTTCCTGGACCAGGATTTTGATCGGCTTTTAAATCACCACGTCGAGCGTAAAGACTATATTGTGGTGTTCCATCTTTGCCGGTACGAGAAATTTTGGGATTCTATAAAATGAATTATATTTTGTGTTTCATAACAGTATATATAATATTCATCCATCGATATAACTTACAGGAAAATAACATGGACCCGGTGATGATTCATCTTTAAATTTTCCATGTTTTAGTCCAAATGAATATGCTGGTTGTTTTGAATGAACTGAACGTGGATCATGATTACCACTGCCTACTAGACCCGGTAATAGATAAACGGGTCCAGGCGTTGAATTCATTGCCGAGATTGGTCCTCTAAAAATTTGGACAATTATTAACTTTATTTTCATATATTATATCTATTTACCTCGGTTTTGTCGCGGTCCAAACCATTCTTTAAATTTTTATGTTTCTAATGTATATACACAATGGCTTACTTTTGTCAAAAAAAATAAATAATAATCTTAAAAAAAAGACAAATATGTTGGTATTAAGTTAGAAGAATGTGTTTAAAAAATTAGAACACTCTATTCATCTATGAACGTCATCAACACTTAGTTGATCAAAACACAATGGTCATTCATGCGAGAAAAATCTTTATGTGTTTTTATTCGAGTTTATTCTCATAAATAATGTTATTAGTTATTCACTCGGTAACTAAAAGAACATCAAAAGAGAAGAATTGTTCAGATAAAAAAAAAAGAGTTATATGGTTTCTTTTTTGTATTATACATGCAATAGTTTAGAAGAAAACAAACCCCTATGTTTATAATACTTTTGAATCATTGAGATAGAAAAGCTCATTATAATAATTTATCGAGACACCAACTTGAAAATTTTATTGACTCGTTGATATCCGTCATCTAGTAAATATTATTATAACCTTAGATCAAGAAAAAAAACTCATTCTTTTTTTGTAAGATATGCATTTAGAGATCAAAAAAAAAGTGAAGAAAAGTGAATGTGATTTAATTCCAAAAAAGAAAACAAAATATCCAAGTGTAACAGACGTTTATCCGATGCAAAAAAAAAAAAGAAGCGAGACTCTGATATCTATATAGTTCGTATAGTTCAATTCAGTAAAATACAATATCTTTCTCAATACTATTTTCAATTATCTATCTGAACTTATTACAGTAATAAATTGATTTTACTTCCTGTTATTAAAACAAAATATGTGTTGAGTATTTAGTAAAATTAAAATGATATATGCTTACCTGTATAATACGTTAATTGGCTAGACTATTATTCTTTTTTTTTTGTGGAAACAAGATTTGGCTACGTCTCAAAAGAGATACTTTTTTTCGTAAACTCACACTCAGTTTCACCGCCCCGCTTCTGATGTTGTTTGATCTTGCAAAGTCAATTAGGACAGCTTTGTATCTCTTTTGAGAAGTTACGC